CTAAACTTTGAAAGTTGAAATATGAAAAAGTTTAGGGTATAAAACAAATTGTGCAAACGAATGAAATTATTGGTCTATAAATCTTCCCATCAACAATTGATAGAAAGCCAACAATAATTTTGGTCCATTGCATCAATTTATGACAATCCTTGTCAGTCCCCCCATGCTAAGTTGATAAACACTGCATGCATCTAGAAGTAGTCATAAGTCACCATTTGAAGAGCAATAATGCTATTGGAACAAAATTTAGAGACTTAATGTATTATGATTATTAGATCAATAATCTTAAGATTTAGTGATAATTTAATGTTGAGATTCAGTGACAATCTAATGACAACAATCATTAAATCCTCAAATTATATCTCAATAACATTGTTCTTTAAACAATGTTGTTGTTGAATTATTAGAGAAATGCAGCGTCACACCACTAATCAGCTTGCAGATTTCGGTTGAAAACTTGGTTGTCGTCGTGCTCACGAAGGACAAAATGGGGTTGTCATGGTGGAATGAGGGGGAAGACTTAGTGGGGAAAAAAAATTGCTACTGTATTTTTAATTTTTATTATTTTTATATATATGTTTATAATTTTTGTGGGTATTTTTATAATAAAAAATTTATAATTTTTGGAGATAATTTACAATTTATATTAATATTTTTAAAAAAATTATAGATACTTTTACCATTTTTATGATAATCGATCATAAGCATACCATCACTCTACAATTTTTTTATTCTAACATTTGTTCTAACGTGACGTTGATGGTAAGCTGTAGTCATATATAACACTCTTATCGATACTATTTTGTGTCCATTTATAAGTGTTCCTCGCACAGTTCAGTAATTAATTATATTTTATATCTTGAAATTTTTGTAATTTGTAATTTCAAATATTAATTTTTTATATTACATCTTCACTGTAGTAAAAATGTTGCAAGAAAACTCTTCTGTTAGTTTTTTCGTTAGTGTCAATAGGTTGACTTTTGATAGAAAAAGTAATGAAAACTAAAAGAAAGATCACATTATAACACTTTTGATACATTGAAAGTGCAATATGAAAAATTTAATGTTTGAAAATTTTCAAAGTGCAGAGTGCAAAAAACCCATAATAGAACTACAATTTAGTAACTATCTCATTTATGTCATTAAATTAAGATGAAATTGTTAGTTATTTTGGAAATTTATTTTACACAGTTATTAATTATTTATCAAACAACAATACTACATAATTATAATAATGTGGCAGAACCGTTATATTAGACATTTACTCCCACTCACAATATACTCTCATCACATCCGGCCACTAAACTACCTTGGTGTTTTCCCATAATTATTGGTATATTGATCGGTTCATAACGGATTGAAATAGAAGTTGGTATGACAAAAAATTTTTGAAAACGCAGTGCACCTGAGTAAATAAGTGTCAATGGTACGCATCATGAAAACAACCTCTCAATAACCGAATAAAATTTCACAAACTCAACTCTCTTTATTTCGCAGACTTTGTAATGATAAGAGACTTATGCACATATTTTTGTGTTGTTCAACAACCACGAAACCCTTGGCAAATAAGCATGGAGGAACAGACCAATTGCTATATTAATAAGATTATCCGGGATGGCGACGGGTTTGGTGGGTTGAACTTGAAGCTTGAACGAGAGAGAGAGTGGCTGGCCGGCCAAAGCCTAGTTCAGAGAACGTCAATGGGAATCTATGAAGAGTGCAGAATCAGGTACATGCACGGATGCCATGAAATACATACCGATGGTGTCAATAGTTTGACTTATGTGGTCAACCAGAGCCGAAATTATTTGAATGAAGTAAGCCGTGAGGTAAATGTACCTATAGGTTCCATGAATGTGTATAGTTGATGGAAGATGGTTGTTGCTTCTCTAAATTATCAAGTTCCAATCATATTTTTTTTTTTTTTTGGCTGGTTTAGTGTATATTAAAGTTAAATGGTTGACCATTATTCTAGCATAATTAAGTGTATTCCCACAATAAATAACGGGTACAGTCAGAAATCTCATGATTTCACTAGTGATGGTTTATCGGAATGACCTCTAAGTGTTCTTTTTGCACCAATTTTTATTTTTTAATTAGCAAAGAAAAATAAAATTAAGTGCATCAAGTAAATTTAAACTTAAGATTACTATCGCCAACTTGTTGTGACGTTCTGGAAAAGAGAATCTTTAGGATACAAGGGTGATTTACATAGAAAATTCATTCATGGATGGCCTTGAACTGTCACAAGGGTCCAAGTACTTAGACAATTGATTAAGCCAGACGTTACTTATATATGTATAAAAATCCATACCAGTTGCATTTAAATATTAGTAGAAGCCGACAAATCAGAAAATGGCGGTTTTCCAGATCATTTTGCGATTAATTAACCGTCCGTTTCCGTCTGCTAATCTAAAACACAAGCTATGTTACCATAAAATAGTCTGGTGGACGTAATTCAGTTGATATCATCCCGTCGTGTATAATTGATCCTAGGAAAAATTTCGGTCACCTTCTTTTTATTTTATCATATTTTTAATAATATCTCCCTTATTATTTAAAATATCATTGACACTCGTTTTAGTTTATACTTAAAGATCATTGACACTCTTTACCATTAAACTATTATTTCTAAAAAAAAATATTTATCTAAAATACTAAAATACTAAAATTACAACTACATAAATTTCAAATAATTTTTTTACGTAAAAATCCATTAATATTCAAGCCGTTAAAATGTATCCTTTTACATATTAAAATTCGAGTTAATTTAAATTTATTTTTTTACATATTAAAATTTCAGTTTATTAAAATTTATTTTTATTAAATTTAATCCGATTAAAATTCGATTCGAACTGAATAAATTTTATTTGTTTTATGTATTAAAATTTGAGCCTATTAAAATTATTTGTTTACATATTAAAATTTGTACCGATATAAGCTCGACTTGAATTGTTAGCGCCGATTAAAATTCGATTTGAGTTAATTAAATTTATATTTTTTGCTTATTAAAATTTGAAATTTTAATCGGCTCGAATCGATTTTTAATGGTTCGAATTTTAATATGTAAAAAAATTTATAAAATATAGGGGGTCTCATAGAAGATATGTCTATCTAGAAAGGATATGGATGAAATTTTTTCTAAAATATATCATTGACAATTTAGTAAAATTGTATTCTAATTAAGACTTTTAATCTGACAGAGTGTGTCAATTAAAATTCAAAAAATAGAGAAGGTGTACTTGAATATGTGATAAACTAAAAGGAATGTGGCTGAAATTTTTTCTTAATCTTAATATTTTTAGGATCCATTACAAATTACTATAAAAGTGATAATTTCACCCAAAAGACTTGTAACTCAAAACTTTAAAGTTATAACATGACCTAAAAAATTATAATTTTTTTTTGTTTTAAACAAATCAAAAAACTAGTATTAAAACCTGCAAAATTATAAAATTTAGAGGAGCACTATTACGCTGTTCAAATCAAAACTCAAATTTTAATATGGCATTACAATACAAAATTTTCAAACCTGTTATGTTGATTCAGATTTTTTATCAAATTTTTTATTTTAAGTGATGCGGTACAATTTTTCCTATTAAATAAATAGGTTCCATTAAAAATCAATTATTGTTTGGATCAGCTCAAATTTTATGTAAAAAGATTGTTTAGAGTTTATGTAGCAAAAATTTTGGTATTTTAGATAATTTATTTTTATTATAAATGATAATTTAATAGTAAGGAGTGTCGGTGATGTTTAAATATAAACTAAAAAAATTGTCAATGATATTTTTTATAATAGAGGGGTGTTTTTAAAAATATGGTAAATTAAAAGAAGTTTAACTGAAATTTTTCTTATTATTAATTTTCTTCTCCTTTTTTAAACGCAAGCTAAACGAATTGGAGGAAGATTCCAGACGGCCGACTTTTTTGGGGATTCTGAGAATGACAGCCAACATACAGAAACGTAAATAGTCGGCGCGATTAATTTGGCCCAACCATGTTAAAACTCATGAACTAAAAAAGGATGGAACTGCTTATCTGTTATTGGGACTATAGGCATTTGCCAAATATTTCATTCGGTTCAATACACGTGTTAATGTCATGTGATATATATACATCTAATTCAAAACGCATTATGTCATACACACAATCTAATTTTTTTGTACGAATATATTGACAAAGTGAAGGACGAATGGGTACGTACAATTTGTGACAGTGATATTTGCGACATGGTGGTCTGTTAAATTGATGCAAAAATTGTTGATATCAAAGTTCAAATAGTAATATTGACGAATTGTAAAATTAGATATCTTAAATTTAAATTTTAATAATTTTTTGAGACCAGATCTTCTTGTTCTTTAACTCAATCAATGGAGAGTCAACACATGCACGCTATAAAAACTAGGGTCCTATTTGCTTTTTGCATCAAAAAAACAGTTTTTTTAATTATTTTTGATATTTTTTTGTATCGGATAAGTTGTTTCACATCAATACAATAAAACTTGTATTGAATAATAATCCCAAAAATAATAAAAAAAATGTGGATATGATGAAAATATGGTGGTGGTGGTGATAGTAATGGTGGTATTTTTTAAATTCTTGGAAATTAATTTCAAAAATGCACATAAAATAACTCTAACTTATTTTTTAAAATTACAAAATTTTATTTTCAATTTTTTAAAAATAAAAATAATAAATAACTGGCCCAACATCTTTCTCTCCGTTAAAACAGAGTCCAGAGTTCTTCAGGACACGGTGTCAATCAAGGGAGATTCAACTCATCCCAAGTTTGCTCGTAGCAAAGAGAAACTGACAGAACACTACCACCACTCCCACCGTCACCTCAGCAAGTACATGAACCCAACCTTCAATCCGCCCAACCCCTCCCTATATAAACCTCTTGCAATCTTCACTCTCCTGCATCCTCACTTCACCTTTTCTACACAAATCACAGTGAGAGTGTGAGACCCAGAGGCTAGAGATCGAAAAGCTGAAGCATGCCAATCCCTTCTTCAACCACGTCTTCGCTTTTGGAATCTCTAACTCTGGTCTCAAAATGCACCATCTTCCCACACCAAAAGTCTACCCTTCCAGACCTCAAACTATCCGTCTCCGATCTTCCAATGCTCTCATGTCACTACATTCAAAAGGGTGGTCTCTTCACTCGCCCTCCTGTTCCAATCGAATCCGTCGTCTCTCTCCTTCAACTTGGTCTCTCCCAAACTCTAACCCACTTCCCAGCTCTCGCCGGGCGTCTCAAAACTGACTGTTCCGGCTATGTTTATATCACTTGTAACGACGCTGGAGTAGACTTCATTCACGCCGTTGCAACTCACATTCATGTTCGTGACATTTTGTCTCCGGCCGATGTTCCCGAGTGCGTCAAAGGGTTTTTCTCTTTTGATAGAACTGTGAGTTACGATGGCCATTTCAGGCCAATATTAGCTGTGCAATTGACGGAGCTTGCTGACGGAGTTTTCATCGGCTGTGCCGTCAATCATGCCGTTACTGATGGCACGTCGTTTTGGAATTTCTTCAATACTTTCGCGGAGGTCTGTAGAGATGGTGTGAGGAGGACTACGAGGACACCTGACTTTCGCCGTGATTCTGTGTTAATCTCGTCGGCGGTGCTCAGAGTTCCTGAAAGTGGGCCCAAGGTCACTTTCTCCGAAGACCCGTCATTAAGAGAGAGAATTTTCAGCTTCACCAGAGAATCTATTCTGAAACTGAAAGCGAAAACAAACAATCGGAAATTGAACGGTATTTGTAACGGAGCAATTGACGTCGTTGAACTGATGGGGAAGCAGAGCAACGACCCATGGAAGATCGCCGATGGGAAGAAAACGCCGTTCAATCGGCTACGAAACGTCATTTTAACAGAGTCTGCTAATCCAGCAACTGAGATCTCATCTTTTCAATCAATCTGCGCGCTTCTATGGCGAGCGGTGACACGTGCCCGGAAACTACCGTCGGCCAAGACGACGACGTTCAGAATGGCGGTGAATTGCCGTCATCGACTAGATCCAAAGCTCGGTCCGTACTATTTCGGCAGCGCAATTCAGAGCATTCCCACGTATGCTACGGCCGGCGACGTTTTGTCTCGCGATCTCCGATGGTGCGCCGATCAGCTGAACAAGAATGTGATGGCCCACGATAACGCAACGGTGAGGCGCTTCGTAGAGGAATGGGAGAGGGACCCACGATGTTTCCCGTTAGGGAATTTCGATGGTGGCATGATCACGATGGGAAGTTCCCCCAGATTTCCGATGTATGATAATGATTTCGGGTGGGGCAGACCCGTTGCAGTTCGGAGCGGGAGGGCTAACAAGTTTGATGGCAAGATTTCGGCTTTTCCAGGGAGGGAAGGCGGTGGGAACGTTGATTTGGAGGTGGTGTTGGCCGCGGAGACTATGGCTGGTTTAGAGTTGGATTCGGAGTTTATGCAATACGTTTCTGGTTATTGAATGGTTGATGCTTCGATTGTGACGGGTCTGGGGCAGTAATGGATAAGTCTTTTTTTAGGCGTTTTGTGACCCGCCATGTGTAAGAAAAAATTATTTAAACCTAATTTATTAGCCTAATATATCATAACTATTAAATTTTCAGGGAAATTTATGGTAAATTTTATTATTAATTGAGAGATCAGCAAATAAAATAACTAAATTAAATATAAATAACATGATTCACCGTAATTAGATTGGTAAGCTTTAATTTGTTAGTGAAATATTTAAGGTGGGTGGTGGAGCAAGTTGAATACGTGACGTTTGAATTTGAAGAAAAAACAAATGATTTGTGCATTTGTCCAATTTTTATTATTTTGGGTATTGAAATTGTTTTAATCATGTGATCATTTAATTTGTGGTTAGAAAAAATATTAATTCTCATAATTACACATTAATAGATTAAATATATTTTTAACCAAGACTTTTTAGAACACGGCATTCGTGACACATTTAATTACGACTTAATATTAAGGAAATCATATATGTATTATGTATCACTAGTTGTTGAACACGCAAAAATTATTTTGTGATAGTGAAAACAACTTTAAAGATTATGAAAAATGCAAATATGTATGGGGAGTTATTTTAATTAAGCTTTTGTTAAACCCTCAAATCAATAAATAATTCTTTTTCAGATCAAAATAAATAAATAATTCTTTCTACACTAAAGTCTATCAAGAATGACTATTCTTATTTTTGGTTTATCATCCATAACGATATAGACTTGATAATCTCTTGTAACTTTTAAAGGGGTTGCGAGACAATTCATAAATAATTTTTTTTTGTCTTTTTGATAAAAGAGTAATGCTATTAAAGGCTAATTTATCTATACTAGTTGTTGTACACGTGGACTATTTTCATTGTTTTTTATTTTATTTTATTTAATGTTTTATTGTTTTGTGATAGGAGTTTATGGGTCTTAGCTTGTCTTGTGTATAGTTATGTTTAAATATCATGACCATTCTTGTACTAACAGAGAAAATTGAGGACCAACTAAAATGAAGAAACACTTGGATATCATGACCATTCTATTCCACTGCATTTGATTTGGGGTTGCTAAATCTAAGAGGTCATTCCTTCTAATTTAAAGAGAAAAAAGGAAACTTTCATAATGCATATGGATTACTGGAATTCAAACAATGATTTACTCTACTGAATTTTATTTTAAATTACTTTCTGCAGATGACTAGGGAGTTGTGCTTTAAGCATATTGAGCCGGAGGTTAACTCCAAAACGATGGTTGCTATTCTACCCGAGGAAGGAGAAAATGATCATCATTCCTTGGTCTTACAAATTCGAGCACTATTAAGGCTTGAGTGGCATGTTCAGATTCAACATGTTTATCGGAAAGCAAACGCTTGTGTAGACTGATTAGCTAATTTGGCTCATCACTTGGCATTGGGAAACATTGTTTTCCAGAGGCCTCCTATAGGGATCCTTTCCCTGATTGATTCGAATGCGTATGATATCTGTTTTTATAAGTTGATTGCTAGTTAGTTTTGGGCTTTGGCTCTCTTTGTAACCCAAAAAAAAAAAAATTACTTTCTACCTTATCGGAGCATATAACTTATGAATACAAGGCAATGGCTAGCTCTGGCCAACAAAATCGCAAGCAGCCCAAACACATTATTCTGAATCACTATATTTGATCAGTCAAAATATTTGAACTATTATATGCATATCTTAGGCTAGAGCATAACTATCCATATGACAATCCCTATTCTCCCAAGTGCAAATCCAAAATATGAAAGAGCATTATCTCAAGGTCAAGAAGTACACGATGCATGGGTACATTTGCATGTAACCACCATAATCTAAAGAATCAGAAGTTTGACCCCCCCCCCCCCCCCTAATTTTTTTGTTGTATTTATTTGCATTTTGGGGACTTAAATTGAATTTGAATGTCTCACAACCGAGAAGAATTAAGGATACCCACTAGAAAGACTAATCCAATCCATAATGACGTTCCAGAAAATACATCATTTTAGCAAGTATGTCAATGCAATTATGTGTCTAGGTGTGTCTCCATGGGTGGGGGGTGTGTGAGAGACAGAGAGAGAGAAACTACAGAGTTAAATTATAAGTGACAACAGAGTGAAGGCCCTCCAATACAAGCCTTTAACGATCAATCAAAACAATAATCTCAAACAACCATCGAATTGAACACCAATCATATTCAAAAGACCACCACCCTTAAATTGTAAACAATTAAATTCAATGCAGTAATTTGATTAATTGTGAGCTCCAATATTTATATAGAGTCCACAACCAATCAAATGATTGTACATCATTAAGTCCTTAAATTAGTCCTCATATTGAGATTGATCATAAAAGTTCATGCTGTGAGTTTCAATTGAAATGATGACTAACTATAAAGTATTAGGTAGCCCTCGAATGGTAACGCTCCATTCGTATATGTTTCCTTCATATACGAAACTTTCCGAAAATCCATACAACCGAGTTTTTTACAATGATATGCAAAAAATGGCACCAATCATTAATCACGTCACATAGTCATATTAAGGCATAATATGTAAGAGTCGGTTATTATTTTATGATCTTAGATGAAATAATGATAATGTAGTTGGTAAGGGTGAATAATGTTCACTTTAAACATTCTGTCAAGGATAGTTTAGTAATTCAAGTATTTTTTTCACATGCTGAAATTTAGTAGTAATGCTCATGGAAACCCAAGCCCCGACAATTTATCTTTACTATGTTCAACCGAAACTGAGGCTAGCAATCAACAATTTTTTAGCTTCCAAGGATGTCCATCACATGCATCTAATTCAATAATGGAATAATCAAATAGGGTAAATAAGACACATATCATGAGATAACTGCCACAGACAATTGAGCTGGGAAGGTTTGAAATTGAGGACTTCCTTCCCTTTCAAATTTTGTTTTCGGCTAGTATTCCTCTTCTAGAGATGCAACTTGCATTTTCTTGCAATACAATTTCTTATATCCCAAAAATAGACAATCACTCACCCACCAATGAGCAAGAAACAAAAAAATGATTTACTTATGGATTGTACAAAGGCTTTTGAGTTGGGAACATCATGCTATTAACAATTCGAAGTCAAGGTAACTGTTTTACTATTGTATATACCTTCAAAACTTTGCAGTAATTGTATACCTCAGTGCTTCATTTTGTACCTATGGGACCAGCACCAACATTCTACATAAGAAGAGGGCAAGGCACATATTTGCTGTTTGTTAGCCAGCATGAAGAACTTTCATTAGGGACAAGCAAACTTTCAATCCAATGAAATATGCAAGTTCTAGAGGACCCATTGGATGATTTGTTCCTAGTTTCATCTTTCTATAAATGTAATGTTTTGTTGGTATGATTCATGAATAACTACTACAGTAACTACACTTTCCCAATTTGGGATTCACAATGGAATATGCATTGAGGAATTGAAAAATTCGACCTCCAGAGAAATGGTCCATGTTACAAGCAATTGAGACAAGTAAAAATAAAATGGTGCATCAGAAAGAAAAGGGAGGTGATATTATTATTATATATGAACCACAAGGAAAAAAAATATAACAATAATGACAGATTATGACACCCAAATGATGTAGTTTGTTACATCAAGAAAGGAGTTGTGCTTCCCCTTATTGAAGCACACAAGTTCCTAAATGCTTCATCTCACAGTAGAGTAAGTAATGAACTCCGCTGAGGTGAACTGAAATGGTTGGCGTGAAATAGGGTTCCTGTAATAGAGTATAACAGTATAACAATGAGATTCACAGGTAAACAATGGAAGATGGCAAAACAGTTAGACACGAGGAAACAAATAGAGAACAAAAAATGATGCAGTAGCATTGACAAAACAACAATTTGCAGCATGAAAGTGTTCATAATAGTATCCCTACCAAAAATAAAATAAAATTGGTGACAAGTAGATTATCTACCACTACTTCAAAAGGATCAAAAAAATACATAAACTACATAACCACACAGGGTTAAACCACATATATAGATGTAGATATATTTCTATAGAAGAGTGTCTAATCAATATGGGCAGATTCACATCAATTAGACCACTATCTCTTAGAAACTGAAAAGTTAGAAGATGGAATCAAAACAATAACTTGAATACTAAACTTATAGAGCTATAAAGACAAGCAACAAGCAAACCCAATAAGCACAACAATTTTTCCTCAATAAATGAAGTGCAACAAAATAATTAATGCCAAACTGCATATTGGTTTTCCCTATGTGAGACGTGATTTTATCCATTTAAGAATCTACTTTACAAGTTCTATCCGAAATCATAAAATTATTCAAGTCCATACCTTGTTCTCATAATTTAAAACTGGTCAACTGAAAATCTAAGATAATTATTATAAACTTCAAGCATATTTGGACAAGCGGTTGTCGGTCATATATTGGATTGGAATACTTTCTGTTGCCAATTTCAGGTATAATTATTTTTAATATAGCAATTCTATTCCCAAAATTTGACTCCAGAAATTTCATAATGTATAGATAATTCAGCATAAATTGATAGTGTTAGCCTAATAGGAGGCATTTAAAGTTCTTTGTTTTTCAGTGCTACTACTTGCCTCACTGAGAATCCAAGAGGAGTTACTCCACCACTAATTTGTACTGCTCCTATTAAGGTTTGTGTTATACTGCTTTGCTGCCATGAGTGTTCTATGTGGCTTCTGGGCTTGCCGTTTTATTCAGTGAAAGAAAAAAAAGTAGGATTTTACAATTAATCATCTCACATCTCTTGCAGTATCAATACGCAAACTATACCAATCCGAAGTATAACCAGACTGAAAAAGGATTGTTGAAGCTTCAATTGGTCAACCAACGATCAGACTTATCTTTTGCTCTCTTTTCTGGTGGATTATTGAATGTATGCTTGTACCAATCTTTCCCTTGTATCTCGAACCTATTTCTTTGCACCCAATTGTTTAAACATGCATGCATATTTCAAAACTCCAACACCAAACACCACAATGGAACTAATTGCATGTAGAATAGATCATGGAAGAGGGAAAATCTGTACCTATTTGAAGCAAAGCTTGGATTGTGACAGCTAGCATTGGCACTGTGGAGGCACTAAAAGATCAAGGGTTCTGCCAGTGGAATTGCGCTGTGAGGTTCTAAGAAGTTGTAGAGCCTGTGATTCAGATTTAAGGAGAGACAGATGGAGAGGAGAGAGGTGAAACGAGGAATAAGGGCGGGTTGTTAATGGCCGATTTGTGAGTACGCAGGAGAGAGGGAGTAACTGATGGAAATTGATGGTTTCCGTTTAGACGCATAAACGAGAAAGAGAGAGAAACGGCTGAAAAGAGAGACATAAGAGATCGGACCCTTTAACTAAAACTTTTTTGAAAGGTAGATTCAACAGTGCTGCCTTTGTTAAAAAACGGATTTAACAATTCCGCTTTTATAAAAAAAGAAATTATAGACAATGAGAACAGGGTGTTTTGTAAACACGCTTTTCGCACTGACATATTCACATGTGAACACAACCGGGTATATAATCACAAATGTACAAACAATCCCCTTTAAATCGACTCCCGAGCAACTTATTGCCCTGTTCACGGTTTAAACTCCAAACCCCAGATGCCAAATGAGACCTCTGTGATCTATAAATCTTCCTTCTCTTGAGGGCCTTTTTTGTTAAGAAGAATGGAAAGAAAGATGAAAAGTTTAAAGGATGAAAAATTGGAAGAAATATATTTTTTCTCATTATGTTTGGAATGATAGATAGAAGATTGAAGGGATGCATTTTCCTTTGGTATTGGATGGATACCAAATTTACTATTATACCTTCACATCTAATTACATGAATAAGATTAAAGAAAATAAACCAAAATGCATGATTTTTTTATAAATATATAATTTTTAAATCCCCTTAAGTTTAGAAGCATATAATATTTAGACCTTTTTTAAGTTTAAATAATTATACTTAGATAAAAAATACTCCAATTAAAGATGAAATATTAAATATTTCAAATTTTACAACTAAAATTCATATTATATTGTATTATTTATTGAAATAAAATCAAAAATAAAATTTACTTATAAAGAAATTCTTCATTTAATTATTTAATGTGTATCTAACTAGAAATTATATGTATTTTTTTCATTATGTACATTTAATTATTAAATCTTCCATTACATTTACAAAAGCAAACTTAATAAGTTCTAATTATATTATGTAGTAAATACTAAAAATTATATAATTAAAGAAAGTGGTGGGTAAAATAGTCAATTTACAAAAAAGCCCATTCTCCCTCCATTTTCCGCCCATTTTTGGGGAAAAATGTTTGGTGGGCTCAAGGGAAAACATTTCTCTTCCATTTTTCATTCCCTCCCATTTTTCTTCCATACCAAACAA